GTATGCAATTGATTCATAACCTCTATTCCTTAATGATAATTCTCATTCGCACCTTGATTGCAATTCTACGGAGAAAAACCATCGCTTCAGTAGATCACAAGCAGATACTTTGAAAGTGAATAATGATCAAATGAAACGGTTTAGCAACCATTGTTTGACAGAAGAGAAATGAACATGACTTTTCTTATTACAATATCTTTAAAGGCCAAAATCTGCGAACTTGTCGTTTTGAAGCTTCTTTCAAGCCTCACTTTAGAGAATAAGAAAGTTATCTCAGCAGAAAAAGATCATTCAAATGATATGCTTAAATGAAAAAAACTTGAAGCAACAACAACAAAAAATTCGAAGACGTGTAAAACTGCACAAAACGTTCTTTCATTAGGGTGTTACTAAACAGAGGGTTAAAAATTTCAAAGTCTTTTAAAAATCGATTGAAACAGATAAAAAGTAAAACTAAGCATGTTTGCCAAGGGACGGAAGGCATTTCGCTATGTTTCTGATTCATTTAACTGCCGCCTATATCATTCCATGTACACTTGATACCGCGACGGAGAAAGGATGCGGATAGTATATATATTTTTTTCTGTCTTACGCCAAAGTTTTCAAAATTATACGCAAAGGGGCTAAGGTTTAAAACTCTTAGATTTTTAAGGCTAATGCCCGCCACTATTGCGGCGGATCACCGTGCAAAGTTTTCGAATCCTGAAATTTGATATTATACATATCATCTTCGTTAGGTCGTGGAAGGAAAACTATCACCTGACGCGGTCGCAATGGTCAAATAACTTAATTCCGTCTTCAGAGCAGACATCAACTTACGATGATAACTAGAGAAGTGTAGAAAGAAGTCTTTTCGCCCGTTTCCAGGGTTATGATGATTATGGGAAATCATTTCACATTTCAGGACGGAAGGTCACGCACTGCTTTTCTGTGACAACTGCAACTAAGGCCCCAACCACACGTATCCGGATATTTTTGAATCCGCAATTTTTTGTTTCCGGACTCAAAAATTTCCCCGTCCACACGTAACATATTCAAATCGAATTCGCCTGTCCACACGCATCCGGTTGTATCCGGATTCACTTTAGAGAAACCAGGCCTACATGTTGTGCCGCCATATTGGTTTATTGTTCAGTTAGAGATTGGACACGATTTTGCTACGTTATCGGATTCGAAAATATCCGGATTCATCGTCCACACGTTATCGGATTCGTTGCGGATTTTTTTTTTTCCACTGTGGGGAGCGGATTAAAAATTGTCCGGATTCGCTGCCGAATTCGCCGGATGCGTGTGGACGGAAGCTGTATCCTGAAAGAAAAAGTTGCGGATTCAAAAACATCCGGAAACGTGCACGTGTGGCCGGGGCCTAAGTTATCATTTTAATGTTCACTAAGTCAAAGAACTTAACCAAAAGAACTTAGCCAATCCAAGCCAATCCAAACTATGATTTACTAGAATTAAAACTGATTGAGACTGCCGGTCATATTTACGAACCTTGAGGGATACACCATGCAGAACATCATTTCTTTTAAGTGTCATAACTCATGGCCTCGTATTGTATGCGCAGCGTTACTGAAACCTTGGACTCATGTGAATCGCAGAAAGACTACTACTCACCAAGCTTGCTTTGTGANATTTCTTTTAAGTGTCATAACTCATGGCCTCGTATTGTATGCGCAGCGTTACTGAAACCTTGGACTCATGTGAATCGCAGAAAGACTACTACTCACCAAGCTTGCTTTGTGAATTGGTTTTGTAGTTACTATTTATATATCAATACCAAAAAATATTCTCTAATTTTTTTTTTCTAAAGATTTTCTAATTTTTAACCCTTTGAAATGTTTTCCCGTTACTCGGTTTCTCGTTACTTCATTACTCGTTACTTCGTTATACTGTTTAGTAACACCTCTCTCATTATTATGACTCATCCAATTTGCAAGCTGGTCGAAAGTTCAGTTCTACTGGGAGTTTGCGTAAATTTTCTGATTATTGTCAGAGCTTTTAAAGTGAAGAATGTCGCCTACCTTTTATTATGGCCTTTTTAAGCGACCATCAACTATGTTTTTGTTTGTTTGTTTGATTGTTTTTTTTTTTTTGCAAGAGAGTTGAAGGATTAAAACGTTATCCCACAAATGTAGGCCTTATTTCTAAACTAATCCCTCTTAAGCTATATTTGGAGATGGCACCCAGTTCTCCGGCGGATAATGTTACTACGCGCGTTGTGTGGATGTTTTCGTGAAGGATATATGAAAATGTGTGGTAAAGCCACCGGGGCTATCCATGTGATCAAACTCCGCGTTACAGGATTGGTTGTTTCTAGACCTTCCTGGAATTTCCGAAACAGGGAGTGACTTAGAAATAGCTTGAGGGGGGATTACCTTGGGTAAACAGCTTATATGGGAGATTAACTCTCTTACCCTTCTGTCTCTTGGTTTATTATGATAGTTTTATAATTTTCCTTCGTAAGAGCTTTGGTGATATAGTTTTACTACTTTTGTTTCATTTTCTTTACTGAGCAGGTTCTTTTAAAGCTATACTAGACAGCCAATCCTTCCTGTTCAAACTGGTTAATCCTTCTGGAAATGAACCGATGAAGTTAACTTCAA